TGTAGGTAGATGCAGCGCAAGTCTACCCGCACTATAAACCCCTGCGCAAGTCACCGTCCCTGCTCCAACCTGCTGTGGGGCACACGGTGGACATCGTCGAAATCGACGGTCGAACTGTCGTGTGTGTGTGTGTGTGTGTGTGTGTGCTGGTGAGGGAAGATATGTTGGCGTGGTTACGCCGGCGGTTGTCTATTGCAGGTTTTCGTGAATGCGCATGTAGCCTACTAGGCCCATGCAGTAAGTGAATGTGCGGGCGCAGCGGGGGCAGTTAAGGCGAATGGGTCGAGCGTATGTGGGTGCTCCAGGAACTGGTTCGCCAGTCTTTGTACGATGGGATTCACAAGTGACCGACCAGGCCGACGTGTGAGGTAAAGGCGCGATCGCAATGAGGATAGGTGAGGACCGAAGTCGCATCGCTGATGTTGGCGGTGGTGAGGTTGATGCTTGACAGTGTGTTAGGATTGATTGCAGTGGCGGTGGGTGCAGGAGCTGTAAGAGCTGACGTTGAGGCGATGGAGGAGGACGGCAGTTGGAATTCAGGACTGTGGTCAGTGTTGATTGTCGGTGTGAATGGCGTGGCAGAGGTCGGCGGAAGACATCGATTGGTGTCGTCCGAGTGCTGTAGTTGGTTCGAAGATGCCCAATGAGACCGATTGGTCTCCGGTCCGTCCGCTGGCACGTGGGCTTATCGAGGGTGGTTGAGCGTTGGCGTTGACAGATGGGAGCAGTTGAGATTTGCCAGCCCCGCGTTTGGCTTCGGTGGCGGTGATGCGGAAGGCTTCGTAGATTACTGCGCCCGTCTTCCCTGCTCTACGCCAGGTCGGTCGATCTCGGGCTTGGTCTTCCTAGTTGGCCGAGCCGCAGGGTATCATTGTGACGTCGGACTTGCCCTCCTCGTCGGCGTGAACCCGTGGTGACATCTCCATAGAGGAGTCGTTTGGGTAGCCGCTCGTCATCCATCCGCAGAAGGTGGTCGATCCAGCGCAGTTGCACTTGTCTCAGCATGACGTAGATACTGGGAATTCCTGTCCGTTCAATTACGCCGTATTCGAGATCCAGTCCTGAAACCTCAGCTTTCGTATCCGCCGAAGACGGCTAAGGTGGAAGTGCTTGGGCTTTCACGCCTGTTTCTTGTATTCTGTCCACGTCTCTGCTTCGTACATCTAGAGCTTGGTGCTGAGGTGGAGACCGTGACGGTTCCAGACGGTGTTTCGCAGACGTCCGTTTCGGGCGCCTTCCCGCTGGAGAGCTGCTGTACGGCCTTCATGGTTTCGCGTAGAGAGTGCGCGAGACAGAGTTCGACGTTTGTCTCCACTTGAGGCAGATGGGTGATGGCAGCGTCGGAGATGATGGATGGATGATTGAGGACGCCTCTGAAGTGTTCGGTCCATCGATGCAGAAGTTTTCTCAGTTCAGTGAGTTGGGTACTGCCGTTGGTACTGGGGAGAGGAGCGGTGCCTTTGGCTGTGGGACCGTAGACAGCCTTGATCGCGACGAAGAAGTTCGTCCATTCTTTACGATCCGCGTATCCTTGGGTCTCATCGGCCTTGCGAGCCGTCAAGGCCTCCTGCATCTCTCGCAATCGCTTTTGCCCAAGGTGGTGACTACGATAGAAAACTGCTTCGTTGTCGTCAGTTGGGCGATTGACGTAGGCGTTGTGCGATCTGCTCTTTTTGGCGAGAAAGTTGCTGGTGGCGGCGTCACTGCCGTCGAACCAGTCCTGATGATGGCGACGTGCGCGACAGCCAGAGCCGTCGACTAAAACGTGTCCCTCAGTTGACACCATCGGTTCTCCGCGGAGGCATTCTTGTCGGCGGTTGCGACGGCGACTGGAAGGTTGGCTAGACTTTGAGCTAGTTCATTGCTGAATTGGAGATGGTGGGCAGGCAACGACAATAAAGCAATACTCAAATTACCCGGGGGTCGCTTACCTTGAGGTCTCCTGTAAGGCTGTAGGCGACTCCTTATCTTGGAGATGACGAGGCAATAGTCGGCATATCCGTCGACACCTGGGATCGCCTTTGTCACAGCACGTTTCGCTGGTCTCGCCTCCGGACATAGGCATAGTTCAGCTGGTGCCAGTGTCACGACCGAAAGTGTCTACTGGTCGTCTTTTCCTAAGTCGGAAGGCGAAATATGCTGGTCAGGGTGAAGCGGTATTCTGTAAGGTTCGCAGGAGGAGCAGGTCATTGTCATTGGAGCCGTCGAAGCAATGGGGATCCAACACTCCTATTCAGGCAGCATGGTCTGTGCCGACGCGGGCGTTGAAATCACCAAGGACAATCAACTTATCCGCCTTCGGCGCAATCGCTAGGAGGGCGCGCAGGTCCTCGTAGAACTTGTCCTTTGCAGCGTCAGGGTTGGTCATCAGGAGAGCGTAGACGCTGATGATGGTGACGAATTTGTCTCCCCCGAGATGCAGATGGAGGCTCATCAGGTGTTCGATGATGCCCTGCGGCACACAGGGCAGTCATCCCACGATGTAGCTCTGGAGAACAAAGACGACTCCTGCGTCCAGTCACTCTGCCTTCGGGCGACCGCTCCAGAAGAAGGTGTAGCAGGCACCAACCTCCTCCAGTTGACCTTGCTCGGAGAAGCGGGTCTCACTGAATGCAGTGATGTCCACCTTGTAGCGCGCCAGTTCCCGAGCCACTAGCACCGTCCTCCGTTCCGGTTGATTGGTCGTCAGATTATCTAAAAGGAAACGAACACCCCCGGCTACCAGAGTGAGCGGACGCACCCTACCAACCTGGGAGGTAGGGCAACGGGGGAAGGTGAGGGAAGGGAGAGAGTACCGTTTCTTGTTTTGTTTCAACCGTGTGTTTTGCGTCTGCGCACCACGGTCAACGCGCAAAGGACTTGATGCCGGCATTTGTTTACGGCACCTTTTCTAGCTCAGTTACCCTCGCTTGGGTAGGCAACGCTGTCCATAAATAGGGCTGCTTAGACATCACAAACGGCTACCGGACTCCACTATGGGCCAAAACTTTGGTTAGTGAAAGAACGGCCCGAACTAACGTGGGCCGCCTATGTGGTTACTTTTGCTACCGCCGTAAGATTGTTAAGTGGGGCAAATACCGCGGATGAGCGAAGGGATAGAATGATGGGTATCAGAGTTCCCCGTCGCTCTCTAAGTTAACTGGTTGTTGAGAATGTAAACGGTGAGTAGACAAGTTCAACAGAACGCTGTTTAGCATACAAAAAGGACAAACACAAACAAACAGACGAAGGTAAAGAAGCTAGAACAAGCAAAGTGCAGCGACAACAAAGCGACATTGGACTTACATGGGGTCACTTACCTTGTTGCTTCCTGCGGGGTTGCAGACGAAGCTTCATCTTGGAGGTGACGATGCGATGCTCCGTAGGATTTTTGACTTTGGTGTAAGAGGGTAGAGTAGAAAGCAGCGAGAGTGAGGAGCAATGGAGAAGGACGGAGAATATGTGCGGATGAGAAGTAATGTGCCGGTCTTCCAGCCACTGGGTCAGTAGCTTGCTGAGTGCTTGTGGTCTCCTGCTGGGTTGCAGACGCAGCCTCATCTCGGAAATGCCGAGGCGGTGATCCGTCCGGCCAGCGATGTTGGGTGTGGAGCCGAAATACCGTGTGCGGAGGTGCAAACACGGATACCCTCACCTGGTTAAACCCGCCGATCAATGCGGTTACCGGGCAGTGGCCGCTATGCAGAGCCTAAAATCGGGGACCCACATGTGACAGTTGGGTGTCAGTTAATGGACGCTAGGCGTAGCCTACACCTGCAAACAAGTAAGCAACCTACTACGACCGTCACGTGGTTCCGCAACTGGACACCCCTACACCCCTCAATGCGCACAGTCTGGAATTCATAATCATGCAGAAGCACGCGAATCTTGGTGGCGACGGATATGTCGCGACGGATCCATGGCCATTTCCCAAGGCTTGAGAAAACCCGGCGGGCAGCATCAGTTTGAGAGACATTGCCGTCTTTATTCTGTTTACTCGGCAGTAGCCTCCTCCAGAGGAACTTCAAAATTTCCACTTCCTCAAGTTGACAGCGGTAAATCTCGAAAGATGCAGCTAGGAAACACGTTAGCCTTCCCAGCGTTTATGGATAAACCGAGCGATTTAGCGACCTCGTTCATCCGTGACGCCATAAATTGCAGATCATCAAAACTCGAAGACAGTAAGGCGATATCGAAGGCATAGCCGTTTTTCGGGTGCAAACTTAACACCGTCACCTTTGTGCAGGGCCGTCTCGAGAATCCAGTCAATAGAATAGTTGAACAGAATGCGCAACAGAATACAACCTAGTCGAACGCCAGATCAAATACCGAACGGTTGGGAAAGACTGCTATTGACCAGAACTCGCGAAGTGGTGGAACTGTCATAGGCCTTGATCATGGCGATGATTGTTGGCGGTGCACCTTCCAATGCCATTATCCGCCACAGCGACTTACAATGGGCGGAATCGAAGGCGGCGGTAAAGTCAACAAAGCGGACGGCTGTTGGCTGCTCGTAGCTATGGCGGAATTCGAGAATGCGTCTCTGTGTGAATATCTGGTCCGCACACCTACGTCCAGCACGAATTCCGGTTTGATTGAGCCTCTTTCTAGAGTCTCGCACAGTCTAAAATCGCCTAGGAAAGATATTAGCGAAGATATTTGCAGCAAGGCTGGTGAGGCTTATGCCTCGGCAGTTCCCGCATTTCGTCTTATCTCCCCTATAAAAGACAGGTACAAGAATGCCCGAGCCCTAGTCATCAGGATCAACCTAGTCTCTCTACGTTTGTTTAGTCATCTCATAAATCCAGGGCGTCGGTGTGCCGACAAACGACTTGTCGATTTCAGCGGATAAACCGTCTACTCCGGGTGCTTTGTCGTTGCGTAGCCTTTGCATGGCATCGGCGACTTCTGTTTCAGAAAGGAGGCCTCATGATACTGTACAGATTAGAGATGGAGGAAACAACGCTTCAAAGGAGAGCGCAAAGACGTGATGGGTTGGTTATCGAAGTTGAGATGGTGCTCGAAGTGCTCATGCCAACGCTCGACTTTGGCCGAGTTGTCTACAGTCAAGCCGCCATTCACGTCGCGAACAAAGTCACTCAGAGCAGAGGGCTTACCATTAATGTGGCGAATAAGGTGGTAGAATTTTTGTGTGTCACCAAGGTCGAGGCCTGGTCCATGGAGGTCGCTATTTTAGCCCGATATTTCTTTCGGTCATCTCTGGCCGTCTTTGCCGTCATCTTCCGGAGCTGGCGGAATCAATCCTCATAACAGGACCTAACTCGAGCCGTCTGAGCAGACAACTTCATGGTTCTTCCGATGATCCAATCACTACATCGTCGCCAGGTATATCCAAGAATTTCCCCAACTGCCCCATAGACTAGTGGGTAAGATGATAGTTGGTAGCCGTGCCCACAGACTCCACAATGGTACCTACTGGATCGATTTCAGTAGCTGTGATTGCGTTTTCATTATGCTTCTAAATTCACGCGCACGCTGTTTCACCAGTATCAGATTCATTTTATTGGTACTATCCTGGGCAGATTTGCACCGTTGACGATGACAATGAGGCTTACCCTAGGTCAAATTTCATTAGAGGAGGTAGTTGTCAACCGTGCCCGCATGATCCATGATTGTCCCTACTGGCTTGATTTCAGTAGCTATAATTACGTTCTCATTATGCTTTTAAATTTGCATGCGTGCTGTATTACCTGTACCAGAATCATTGTGGAGGTACTGTCCTGGGCACCGTTAACGATGAAAATGAGGCTTTCCCTACATCAACTTTCATAAGAAGAGGTAGCTCTTGACTGCCTCATTCATTGTTCAGGTACTATCTTGGGCGGATTGGCACCGGTAAAGATGACAATGAGGCTTACCCTTTATCAAATTCATTAGCAGAGGTAGCTTTCGACTGCCTCATTATTTGCGGATTTTCTCTTCCGCCCAAACCAATTTTTCGCATAAAAGTCTTACCCGGTTTGCGTTGTGGCGTTCCGCGTGCCGCTGCTCGACTCTCGTGTCCTTCTGTCCATTATGTTGGATGGAGTTTTAGCGCACACCCTGCGGAATGACCTTCGGACCAGTTGCCTTCTTCCCATTGGTTGTTCGCCTTCACTTGCTTTTCTTTCCAATCTGAGGTTAGGATGCATTTATTTCGCACACCGTTCAAAGTCTCCTTGCTCATTTCCATACCTTCCTTGTATTTTTCACCTAATCTAAATTAGGCTTCCACTTTACCCGGAGCGTCAATTCCTAGCATATACTACAATTGCCAATTACCCGTCCACTCAATTGTCCCACCCGTATAGCATCTATTACCACCGGTCCCGATTGACAGGCAGCTTTAAGTTTGCGGTGTCAAGAGGGCTACCAACTACCATCTTACCGACTAGTGTTTTCAGTAACGACTATTGGTTACCGCCTTCTCCGTCGGCTCAGGTTGTAAAACAGGACTGGATTTCTTTGCTCAGGGCCTTCACAATGCTGGGTTGTCGGATCTTAGCGACATCGCGGCGTCTAACACGTAACATTTTTGACGCGGATGAGGTGCATTTTCAAGCGTGTACGAACGAGGGCATGGATCGATCCATGGGTTTTACCAGTCTCGGCGCCACGCATCGATAAGCTATCGTGAACCTAGCTGCGGAACCTTGAGCTGACTAGAATGTAGTCAATCTGATTGGCCGTATGACCATATTTTGAATACCAGGTCAGCGGATGTTTGTTGCGATGTTGGAAGCACGTGTTAGTGACAAACAATCGGTTCTGATCAACATACTTCAACAAGTACTAGCCACTGTCACATCGAGAACCAAGCCCAAAGCGGTCATTAAGATGACTGTTTGTAGAGTCACCAGGCCCAGTCCGGTCATTCCAATCCCCGGCAACAATCAGCAGATGGTGGCGAGGGAGTCTTTCAACCAGCACTAACAATAGCAAGTAAAAGGCCCTTTATGGCGCTGCTCGGAGTTTGTGCGTGAAGTAACTCTTCAGCCGCACGCAGGCCATCCGGTTACCGCCTGGTTCCCAAGCAAATAAAGCACATTTCGCTTGCTGTTGTAAGGCGATTTTCATACCGTGTCTACCAGAAGAGTCGCTCGGCCGCTAGAGTACAGGGTGAGGTGTGAATCCGCTGTAGGGATCTTTATTTCCCGAGAGCCTGAGTCAGGAAGTCGGACTTCAGGCAGGCAGCAGACATCCACGTTGGGCAGACTGAGAGTGCATGGTCAGATTTTGGGTACCAGGGTCCAGGAACGCTTGGAAATTTATGCATTCAATACCAAGGGTCCGTTCCCGATTGAGCAGTCCGGCTCGAATGTTATTCGCCCGCACCACTAGACCAAGGTTGAGGAGCGCGACGGTTCCCACGGGCGCCGTAGTATGCGTCGTAATACTCCAGTCGAACATATTTTCATGATGTTTCTTGGGAAATGTGGGTGCTGGCGGTCCCAAACAGCCGCTCGGATTGTTTGTTTGAGGTTGTCTACTCTAGCGTCTTGGCTCAAGAGCCTAACCACAGGGCAGCGGTGCCAAGCAAACTTATTTAATGACGATTCACGGTCGCCACGTCACAGTGCCGTCATCTGGTTTTGTGGCATTTCTATAAGGCTTTCGATGTGTCAGACCTCAGTTCTTAGCAAATTGTCAACATTGTTGATGCTGATCCGTGAGCACTTATTTGTTGGAACCGAATCCGCTTATTTCACAGCTAACCTTCACTGAAGGCCGTTACGCTATCCGTCACTTGTGGACGTGCCAGGTAGTTAGCAGTTAGACGAACGAGCAACTCGTTTTCCCGAACGTTGCTTAAAGTGTTGACATTTAACTTTGTCAGCGACAAGGCCGCATTCCGCTTCCGGTCGTGCCATCGGCTGATGAGGAAGGAGATAATGCGGTAGATTCTACGCATGTTTGTCTCACTATGGTGTAATTCATGTGCAATTTATCGTTCCCAGCTCGTCCCATTGGAGACACGATGGACGTCGTCTTTTGCAACGGTCGAACAGCCGATTGCTATTTTATTATGTACTGGCTGTTCAGGCACGGAGTATACCTTGTAGAACTGATTGACAGCTCCATGGTTACTGACTCATATGTTGGTCTCATATAGCAGCTCCTAACCGATATCTTGTTCTCCTCTGTGGTTTCGCTGAATGAACACTTCGCAGCGGCCACATTCCGTCAATCATTTCTTTTGACAAACCGAATCTGACAAGATGGTGCTTCCGCTATACGGCGAGAAATGAACTCCTCTCCTCCACAAACCACCTTTCAGACCATATTAGTTCCTAGTACTTTGACAATCTAGGATTTCCTATCTTTTTACATACTAAAATGGACGACCGAACCCAGAACAGAAACGCTCTGTTCCCGCGCGAACTAGTTTGCCACACTTGGTGAAGCTCATCTGACGTTAACCGAGGTCGGAACATCTTCTTTTGGAGCATTCGTCATAAACAAGGGCTCTGTTACTGGAACCAAATTCATCCCCCACAACTTGTCTTCTGTTCGGAATCACGACAGCCTCATCTCAGTGAAGTTTCCGCTCCGTGGAAGTA